TGGCACCTTTCATCAAGTGGGCTCTCAAGCCCGGCGCGACCAGCGGTGCGCTTGTGCAGACCCAGGACAAGTGCCAGCGGTTCCGTCAAGCTACCGGCCGCTACGAAGGACAAGCCCGCTAAGAAGCCGTCCAAATCGTCCAAGAAGACGCTTGCAGGCTCGGCTAAGGTCAAGAAGACGCCCAAGAAGCCAACAAGAAGCCGGCTAACAAGAAGGCCACCAAGTCACCGGCCAAGACCAAGAAGGCCAAGCTCACCAAAGCCAAAAAGCCCAAGGCGCCTAAGCCAAAAAAGTTTCTGGTCAAGAAGACCGCCGCGAAGACGGCTGCCAAGAAATAGGCTGGCGTGCCACCACCTCCATCGGTCAGGGGTCTGCGCGATGTGATATGATGTGATGCGATTTGAAAAATGGCGCGCTCAAGGCAGACCGCACGCAAGTCTACCGGCGGGGAGGCGCCGCGCAAGCAGCTGGCCATGAAGGCGGCTCGAAAGAGCGCGCTGGCCACCGGCGGCGTCAAGAAGCCTCACCGCTACCGTCCGGGCACGGTGGCTCTTCGCGAGATCCGTCGCTACCAGAAGAGCACGGAGCTGCTCATTCGCAAGCTGCCGTTCCAGCGCCTGATGTGCGAGATTGCGCAGCACCGAGGCAAACCTCCGCTTCCAGAGCAGCACCATCATGGCTCTACAGGAGACTAGCGGGGCGCACCTGGTCAGTCTGTTCGAGGACACGAACCTGTATTCCATCCACGTTAAGCGGCTGACCATCGTGCCCAAGGACATCCAGCTGGGGCGTCGCATCCGTGGCCAGCGTGCTTAAGCACTGAGAGCGAAATCATTAACTTACTGCTTACTACCAATTGTGGCAAAAAAAACTGCGTCACTCACAGCTTACTGCTAATGCTGGCAAAGGACTGCGTCACTCACAGTTAACTGCCAGTATTGCCAGGGTAACTTGCTTTATGCCTTGTTCTTTGTGCAGGCATGCCGCCCCCTAATGCAGACGGGGTGGGATGGATTAACGTATTAAATGAACTAATTGTTTGAAGTACATGCGGGGTAAGGATGTATTACCATATTACATCAAAGAGTAAGGATGGATTAGCGTATTAAATGAACTAATTGTGTGAAGTACATGCGGCGTGAAGTGACTGGTACGCCACTCGCCTCTTCGGCTACCGTACACTGCACTTTGCTTTAACGCAAAATGGCATTGCTCATGAAATTGTTCGTTGTTCAAAAGACGTGTTTATAAACCATAAAAATATTGCGCATAAAGTGGAGGCGAGCGCGGAAAATACGGACTAGAATGTGCAAAGCTATCAACGAGAATGAGAACGTCCACGTACTTCTTTTGTCGTCCCATCGCCGCGTCACGAGCGCCACTCCATGCACGAGCTTTGAGCTGCAGCGCGGCAGTTTGTCGGATGAACGCATCCACGACGCAACAATTCAATGCTTATGCGCCGTCAGTCCTGATGTATCCTCTGTAGAGATGCGGGAAAAATACTATTTATACGCCGTGTTTTGTCATGCAAGGCTGTCAAGTGCATGTTATATGATTTGCCTGAGTGACCTCTGCCCTCCCCCCCCCCCCCCTGCTACGCCGCTTCCACTGCTACTGCTTCTGCGCCACCACTGGTCCGTTCCCTGGCTGTGGATTGTCTTGTAGTAGAGCGCATAGCCTCCTGGGCTCAAGCGTGTGGTTGTGGAGTCGGCGGCAGACGCGCCGCGTTTGCCGCCATACTCTGAGTGCGGCGGAGGTGGGCCGACGTTGCAGGCCGCTCCCCCTCCTGATTCAGCCCTCTAGGCTCTCCCTCGAGGTCCCGCCCGCCCCCCTGTTCGTTTCCCCACGTGCTCTCCCCCTTCGTCTAGCGCCTCCGGGTGGCCTTTGTTCAGTCCTGGATCAATAGTGCCCGCAGTGCGGTGCTCCGTCGCAGCGGTGGGCAATATTAGCGGGCTTGGCTCCGCCAGCAGCCGCGCTGCTAGCTCAAGGTCAGCTGTGTGCCTGTAAATTTAACTGAACCGGTCTCTAAATTTCGCGCGAAGCTGAAACCTTGGCTGACGTTAAGGATTGTTATTTTGGGCCGGCACAAGTAATGTTGGCGTCAGCACAAGGACGCCATTTTCAGGGTCTGATGTCTCAGGGTATGGCACAGTGTGCCAGGAAAAGCACCCTGCTGCTTACCGACTGGTCAGAACGTACTCGCCCGGTCCGGGAGGTGGAGCTTTCGAAAATCCCCCCCCATGCTCTCGAGAACCATGTCCGGTAGAAAATGGGCACATTGTGAAAGCCCGCGTCGAGTAGGCCTCGCAGCACACCGTGATTTCACCTTTGGCCACTAAAAAGTCACGAGATATAATAGGGTAAGTTATTTGCTTTTTTACTTTGCACTCATTAAACTGAATTTCGAGCAATGACAGGTCTCAGTGTCTATTGAAGGTTGTAGAGGAAATACACCACACAACATGTTCAGTATTGATTCACTGAGACACTAGAGTGTCATATGAGGTCAAATAACTGGTCAATAAAAAGGGGTCGGCGGTAATCAGGCGTTGGGGTATGATCGGATGTGCCGTCACATGGTTGGATGACGGGGTTTGGCCCTGTAGCATACATGAGCATTCTGTGCCAGAATGAGCCAACTTACGACGCATGGTCATGCCGAGCCAGTTCGACTTGACCATAGGTCATGTATGATGTGATCAGTTTGACCAAAAATGGGCTCATGAAAATCGTTGCATGCATATGCCACTCACTTGATTTTTTACATACGACAAACCCATTCAGCCGCAGCCAGGTCAAATCAGCGCAGACTTGAATATTTGATACACATGATGACGTGTTTAAATAAATTGGAGGAGTCTCGCCAAGAAAAAATCCGGCAAGGCATTAAATCTAAATGAGATAAGAAAATAGTAGATGACAGTGAGCCCATTTGTTTTTTGCTGACCTGACATCAGGTCACATTTAATTGCCATGTTAAATGCCACAAGAGCATTTGTATTTTGTTTAAATGTAAGCGGACAAAGTGTTTGTTTCTTGTTTCAAAATCAAGTTTCAAACAATTTAGACCATATCGGGTCAAATAAAGTCGGTTTGGGTGAAAACCATTGTACCTTGACTAGCTTGTTTAGCTTCAGTGATGTCTGAAGCGCTGCCGGATATTTATCAAATCGTTTCAATGTGTGTCCATAAGAAACAGCAAGCTGCTCCTTATAAAAGCGACATGAAAGGTCATGATCATATTTGACCTTATCTCGGTCATGGTTTTTCGGGATAGTGGTATTCTTGAAGCAGATGTTTATGTTTGCACAACACTTTATGACCGCTTAAATTCCATCGGGCTCAGTAATTTCCCCGCTAAGCTTTAAAATAACGACAAGAAGGCCTGACCTTAGGTTAAACACCTAAACATTTGTCGAATTTTCGAAATAGGGCAATCGTTGCAACCGTTAAGTGGTCATCTTGATGTACTTTTGCCACCAAGCGATTGCAGTACACCATGGCACTCGAACTGTTTTTTTTTAAGGAATTCGAATGTATTTGAATGACCCTAGGTCGGTGATCTGGTATGACAGGAATTCAGCTATTTTACAGTGCACGATGGAGGGATGTATGAAGTGTTACTGGAATTTTCTTGGACATCGGACGTGTTATGTGCACAGGCCAGCGATATGAGGCTCGCGATCTGTAGGGAAGTGAACTGTCTGGTACTCTGCACGGGTGACTGCTCACTCGCGTTCATGAGAGCGCCAGGACTGTATTGAATTGTGTCTGTTTGGCCCCGCGCGCCGATCCGCATGATAAGATATAATGAACGGCATATATATATATATATATATATATATATATATATATATATATATATATATATATATGGATAGGTGCGTATAATTGTATAGATATAATTATGAGTTAAATATTCGTCCATATTTTTTCTTCGTCTCGGTGTTTAGATATATGTTTGGCAATTTGAAGCCACAGTTATGGGGACGCGTTCACGTCCGGCCCCCTCCCCCCCCCCCCCCCTGTCCTGCGCCGTGTGCAGGCCTGCCTCGCGGCGTGCTGCTGCACACCAGGGGTCCGGCCAGCGGGCTGCTGGCTCGCTGCGTGCCGCAGGACCGGTCCGGTCCAGTCGCGACAGATCCTCTCATGCGGGAAGAGTTGGCCCGGCTGCGCTGCACAACACTGCAACGGTAGACTGGCCCAGTCCGGACAGATTTCCCGCGAAAACCTTGGCGGCAGATGCTGAAGATATGCCGTGCATGTCATGTGTATAACATAGGCCCTGGCGTTGCGGTTAGGAAAGACGTTTCTGCAGCCCGATTTAGTTGTTGATAGTCTGTGAGCCTTGCTGCGCCTAGCTGAATGAATTAATCTAATAGCCTTGCTGCAATTCGCTGAATGAACTAATCTAATGATTTGTTTGGTATCGCCGAGCAGAAACGGCGCACATTGATTTGTTCTGGTGAAAAACGGCGTCGTATTGAGATGCCCTTAACATGCTTCCCGGGGAGAAAGTCCCGGAACGTCGTAAACAAGGGCAAGCGAATATGCCCGGCGAAGAAAATTATTTGAACAAATACAGTCTGGTTTCCTCTTAACTGCGTCTTCTTGTTCTAAGCAACTGCACATTCAACGCATGCTCGAGGCTGCGCAGTCCTCGGTATTGTAAAGAAAACGGCGCTATGCTGTGAACAGGTACTGTGCCGCACATGTCGTGACTGTGCGACCGAGCTGCATGTCACCAGCCGCCGGTGGCTGCACTGCGTCAAGAGCGCAAGAGCGCGTGACTGTTCACCGCTGTGACTTTCGTCGCCGTGTGACCGAGCTGCCTGCCACTATGCGCCGGTGGCTGTGCTGCGTCGAGAGCGCAGGGGCGCGTGACTGCTCGCCGCTGTGACTTTCGTCGCTGTGCGACCGAGCTGCATGCCACTAGGCGCCGGTGGCTGTGCTGCGTCAAGAACGCGTGACCGTCACCCTCCTGCTGGCTGTTGCAGGTGCTGTTCGCCCAGCAGCGCCACTGCTCGTCCGGCAAGAAGCCGCCCACGCCTCGAGGCCAGCCGTCCTCGTCCTCGTCGTCCTCGTCGTCCTCGTCGAGCGACTCGGACTCCTCTGATGAGGAGGTGGACGGCAGGAAGCCCTATGGGAAGCGGGTCAGTGTCGCAGGTGCACGGTAACCGTGCGGCACTGTGGGCTGTCCTGTTGCGCATTCTCCGCGTCGAATGTGCCTGGATTACTTCAATTCGACACCTTTTCCGTGTCTGTGTGCTGCTTGTGTGTTACTTTGTGCGTGTGTGATTGAGTGAATGCGTTTTAAGCATGCCACTGTTGTATCTTAAAGGATTCGACGACCCACCAAAACTTGATCCAAATT